ATATATAAATGAAGTTATAGATTAGGGAAGTTAGGAATTACTAGCACCTAGTGTAATGCTTGGAACCAATAAGTGTTCAAATAATAATTATTAGGTGAATATGAATGAATCAATTAATTTCAAGTACCTGATTAGCACAGTCTAGTTTCTGGCCTAAATCATAAGCATGATCTACAAAAGCTACTGAACTATTAATTCATGTTCTTCAAAGTGGTTGTCCTCAGGAATTATATCCACTTCCTTGAGACTAGCTTGTTTTCTCTTTCATAGCAAGATATTTAAAAATTAAAATTTAAGTCTTCTGTCATAACAGATCCACTAAGGCAAAAAAGAAACTGGGATTATTTTTAGCCAGGTAAGAAAAAATGGGAATGGCTTTAAGAAGAGCTTAAGAAGGTGTTTTAGGGTGGGTATATTACATATATTACATATATTACATATATAGTTTTAGGGTGTGTATATTACATATTCAATGAATGAATCACTAAAAATAGTATGTACATAACCTACCAAATCCAGGAACACTTTTGAGACTGGCTTTGAGGCAAACTTTCTCCAATCTGAGGTAGCTATACCTCATCAGACAATTCCATAAGAACATCCAGTCCATCCTTGTCCGATGGTTCATGATAATGACACTTCTTTCTCCAGGGATAAATGCATCACCTGTTATTATCACTTTTACACCAAACATGGTCTCCAACAATGCCTAAGAAAAAGACAATACAAATATATAGCAATCTAAGGTTCTGACTTCTCAGTAAATTTCATCATGTCTTATAAATAAATCCTATGGTTTCCAATATATGAAAATATAGTGTTTACCACAGTTCTTCCTTCTGTAGTAAATCAAGGAGGAAAAAGTTAGTCTAGAAGAATGAGAGCAGGAAGTACTGTTACTACTTTTAATTCTTCTAATTTAAAAAGAAAAAGTACAAAAGATGTACAAGATTTCACTGTATACCTTTTTAAGGATTTGGATATAAAAATGTATTACTTTTTTCTAGAACAATATAATTTTTTTAAGGATATGTATATGTGTGATAATTACTTTCTTCCCTAAGAAGGATAGTCAAAAAATTTAACACTGGGTATAGGACTGAAAAACAGAAAGTTAACTTTTCATTTTAAACCTTTCTGTACTATGATCTTTGTTTAAACAAAAACACTTATCTGTTTATTTTAACAATAAACAAAGAATATAAACTATATGTATATTAAAATGCTGTAGTCCTTGCACCTACAACTTGCTAAATTTGTTTAATTAACTTTTCTGATGGTCAAGAATATATGCAAAATATAGAAAAAGAAAAGTATATTACAGCCTGGAGTTCTTGAAAGTAAAATAATAGATAATAAACACTGTCTCTGTGGCGAGCGCACGGGCCCTATGGCAAAAATCTCTCTCTCTAAAAAAAAAATAAATAAGAAAAGAAAAGAAAACTTCATTATTGACTTTAATCTCTTATATAAACTTTTAAATTATCTACATGTCACAAACTTACTAGTTAATATTTGACATCTGTAGTAATAGAGAAAGAATTTGTCCAAAGGCAGATAAAAGGTAAGAAAACCAGGGACCAGCAGTTGGTGTAATGGCTATGTAGCTGGACTCCCATGTAATCAACTGCGGTTTGAGTCCCGGACCCAGTGGCTTAAACTCACACTGGGCGCATGTGTGTGCATGTCCAAGATCCCGAGAGGAGAATGGAGGAGAAGGGATTGTGGCATGACCATCATCCCTAGGGAGTGATTTCTTACTTTCTGTCTCTCTGGCTGTGTCTCTCTATGTCTTTCTGGTGAGCGCACGCACCCTATAGCAAACACCTCTCCAAAAAAAGAATCATCAAATCAAAATCAAAGAAGTTCTCTTAGGTAAATGCCATGTTAACCTTGATCAAAGTATACAAAATAAACAAACTGTGGGTATAGTCATACAATGGAAAACAATACCAGAACTAAAATTAATGGACTACAAGTACCTGAAGCAACATGGAACACACATAAACATAATACTGAGAGAGAAGCAAAACAAACAAAAAAGAGGATATACAAGAAATATCTACACACAGGACTTCCAAAAACATAAAAAGCATAAGCTATTTTAGAGATAAATATACAGGTAGTAAAATTATTAAGAATAACAAGAAAACAATTATCTTCAAGGTCAGATTCTGGGTTACCAAAAAGGAGGGTATTTTGATTGGGAAGTCAGGTAGCTTGTCAGAGGTTTGGCAATGTTCTTCTTCTTGACCTGGCTGATAGTTACACTTAAAATTATTCATTAAAGTGTGTATTTGTGTTTTATTAACATTTCAATATGTTTGTTCTCTTTCACAATAAAATCCCTTTAAAAGTAAGTGACATGGGGACAGCAGGTGTCATGGTGGTTAAGAAGCTGGACTCTCAGACAGTCAGTTGAGCTTCTGAACCTGGCAGCTAGCTTTCTTACTCTCCCTCTTGCTCTCTCTCTGGTTGAACTGAAGAAGAAGAAATAAATAAATAAATCTTTTCTTTTTAAAGAGAGATTTTTACTACAGGGTGTGTGCACTCACTGGAGAGACAGAGTGACAGAGAGAAAGAAATCACCCCCTCAGGAGGGATGGCCATGCCACAATCCCTTCTCCATTCTCCTCTCTGGATTTTGGACATGCACACACAAGCACCCAGCGTGAGTTTTAAGGTATTAGGTCTGGGATTTGAACCACAGTCAACTACATGGGAGTTCAGTGACATAACCATTATGCCATCTGCTGGTCCCTAAATACCTAATTCTTTAAAAAAAAAAAAAAAATGGCGACACAACAGATTAAGACCTCAAAAATGTAAAACTACATAAGATCAAGAAAAGATAAGTCAGGGGTAAGCAGGTGGCACAGATGTTAAGGCAGTTGGATCCCACATAGTTGACTAACAGTATGAGCCCAGACTCAGTAGTTTGAAAAACACACTGGGCATGTGGGCATGTGTACCCAAAATCCCGAGAGGAGAATAGAGAAGAAGGGACTGTGGCATAGCCACCCCCTTCTGGGGTGGTTTCTCACTTTCTTTCTCTCTCTCACTGGTGAGAGCATACATGCCTGATGACAATCTAAAAAGAAAAAAGAAACAGGTTAAAATAACATAAACTAAAGAAATATGCTAGAGGGTCAAGAGGTAGCATGGTCATTAAGGTGCTGTATACCACATGGTCAACTACAGTTTGAATCCCAATCCAGTAGCTTGAAACTTAACTTATGTCTGTGCATGCCCAAAATCCATAGGGGAGAATGGAGAAGGGACTGTGGTGTGGCTATCCTTCCCTTCTCTCTGTCTCTGTCTCTGTCTCTGGTGAGCACACATGCACTATGACAAAAATGTATAAAAAAGAAAATATATATTAGATTTGTAAAAATAAGTTAGAAAGGTTCTATGTCCAAATTGTTACAGAGTTAGAGTGTTAAAATCTTGACAGAGGAAAACAAGATCATCTAGGATAAAGCAGCTACAGATATCCCACAGGTTATATTAAGTTGCTTTTCCAGGGCTGAAGTTAACTTTAGGGCATAGATATTTAACCTGGCACCCTTAAAAGGACAACCTCCAAAAGGTCAATAAATACCATTTGTATACAAGGTATGTGGATGTATACACAGGAACTTTTCTAGGTAAAATACCTATAATTTTTATCAAATTGTCAAAAAAGGTCTACAACTTCTAAAACAATTATAACCCCTACTACAAGAAAACTCTCTGGAACTTAAGTCCCTATAGGGAAAACTGCATGACAGAGAGGGTCATGTCTAAGTCCTCTAGGTTTAGATTCACAGTAAGAAATAGTTCCTTTTCTAGTTGTAAGTATACAGGGTCAACGACTACCAAAATATATTACTAAATCATATGTCTTGAACCAAAGGATATGTGTGAAGTCACTATACAAGGTTAATTTGAATCAGCGCTACTCCAGTTTTCAAATATGATATACTTTTCAATTTGGGCAAAGAACTAAAATGTAGAGTGTCTTTTGCTTAATTGGTAAAAAGAGAAACTTGTCTATTAATTGTGTGCTGTACTACAAAAAGATTTGAAAATCTCAAGCCTATAAACCACAAACCTCAACTCTAACCCTTTATACACAACTTTTTGCTATAGGGTCCATGCACTTACCAGAGAGAAACAGAGACACACACACACAGAGAGAGAGAGAGAGAGAGAAGTGAAAAATCAAGCCACTGGGTCCAGGACTTGAACCACAGTCAGCCATGTGGGATACAGCACCTTAATCACCACACCACCTTCTGGCCCTATATGCAATTCTTAATGTAAGTTTCCTATAAATCTCAATTTTTTGGGTTTTCATTATGGAAAAAGTCAAAAAAATCTAAGACTGTCCAGGAGAATCTCATATGGCATTCTCTGTCTCGATATCTAACACTATATCAGAATGTGACTGAAAGTTATATATAACCTATTGGGCAGCCTAGATTTCAAGCTCACATTAATCATTTTTAATACCAGACAAGACATATCTAGTCAACATTATTTACAGCTCCTAGAAAGGCAGAATAACAAATACACTAGACAGAAATAAAGTTGTAATGTCTATAAAGAATTTGAATAAGCCAGACTGAAAAAAAATAAAGGACTATTCTCACATTTCTCAAATATGCTGTAAGTCTAGAATAGAAGAAGATAACAGCTTCAGCAGTAACAAACTAATAAATCTTACAAACCGTATAATGCTCCGTTAAACTAAGAGAAACAATTCTCATGATTTTCACCTAAAGGATCAAAGATTTCTCCCAGAATTATTGGGCTGTCAGAAAAGTCATGACGTGTTTTTTCGGGTTTTTCTTTTTCTTTTTCTTTTTTTTTTTTTTGGAGAGGTTTTTCACTACAGGGCGCGTGCGCTCGTCAGACAGAGAGAGACATGGAGACAGAAAGCGAGAAATCACCACCCAGGGGGGATGGTCACGCTGCAATCCCTTCTCCTCCATTTTCCTCTCGGGATCTTGGGCATGCACGCACACGCGCCCGGCGTGAGTTTTAAGCCACCGGGTCCGGGACGTGAACCACAGTCGACTATGTGGGAGTCCAGCGACATAGCCATTACGCTAACTGCTGGTTCCCATTTTTCGGGTTTTTCCATGCAAAGATGCATCATGACTTTCCTGACGGCCCAATATAAATACAGAAGCAATTTCTAAAGATATGTTATAAACCACAATTTACTACTTCTAAATGTTGCACACATAAAATAAAAAAGATAGGCCAGTACCATAGCCTAGAGGTTAAGGGAGCTGGACCCCCCATGGTTGAATACAGTGAATCCTGGTCCTAGCTTGAAAAACACACTTTATGGATGCAGGATGGAGAAATAGAGATGGGCTTGCTACATGACCACACCTCATGCTAAGGGGTGCTTTCTCCCAATGCTCATGCCCTCTGGCAATTAGAAAAGAAAAAAACAAAAAAGATCAAATGTCCCCCAAGATCACAGAGTATTGGTTGTGCCATCATGCACCTTGCTCTTATTAATCATTCCAATGAATCTCTATTTAGTGTGAGGTAAAAACAAATTCATGATGTTACTCATCTCCAAGTCTCCTTTGGCTTTTCAGATTTATGCCCAGTTCTCCAAATCCCTAGCTATTTAAAGCCTCGTAATCCCAAATCATTCTTCAAACCCTGAACACCTACTTTCTTTAAGAGCAACAGCATAGGCAGAAA